GGAATGTATGTCATTTAGAAATAACATTAAAATTAATTTTCATCACCTGAAATGTTTATATTCATTACACTGCCTTTACATGCACATTAAAAACTGGAATAAACTGAAGTAACAATTACAAAAAGAGTGAAACAGAGAAAATTTCCTTTTAGCCATTATTTAATACCAAACTCGAAAAAAAGATAAATATCAACTCAAAGAATTTATAACGGTATTTGCAAAAAAAAAAAAAAATTGAAGAAAGATCTTAAAACGCAAACGTGCGAGAATCGAAGTAACAAATTAGTCTTTTTATTTTCTCCTCTTGAGAAAATATTTCCTGGAAGACACCGAATACGCAAACAGGCCATGTGGGTTCAAACTACGGAAAATTACCCCTACCCATTAGCGGAATCCCTCAAAAGAAGGCACTCCTTAGGGTGTCGTAAAATAGTCGTCAAGCCTCAAGCGTTAGAATTCCTACCCCTGCGACCTAGAACTGTCTCGGGCACCCAGCTGCCGTACACTTTGCTTGGGACATATATGTCAAAGCCCCCGGGAAAAGGTTAATTGTTAACAAAAATGGAAATTTATCAATAAAAAAACGAATCTTTTCAAAAGATGAATTTTCAATTTGTTTCAAATTTGCCACTTCAGCATTTAACAGAACTTCATTTTGCAAAGGAAACTTCCTTACAATGTAATCACAGGCTGAGGAAAAGTACTTTCTAACACATTGAAAAAATTCTTTTTTCTCATGATCTTTCAAAGAATTTACAAGTTCCCTGGTTTGATTTCCAATTATAAGATCATTGCCATCCGTTTGATTTGCCAAACTATTATAGGCAATATAACGAATCAATCACATGTTTTTCACAACGGACGGCTTTACAAACTTAGTTATAAAGTTCTTTCAAAAGATCATTAAGAATTTGGATACAGCAGGGGAGATTTTGGCGAAGCTGATTGTAGAAGGGTATTTAACACTTTCAAAAATCTTAATGGTACTTAACACAAAACTACAATATGCTTTGTTCAAATCCGAAGAAAGAAGATAGAAAATCCTTTCCTCCCGGCTAATAGAAGACTGTTTCTTCTTCCCTTCAACTTCTTTAACAAAGTTGACCTTTGAGGAGTCTTCTAAGCATTTTCTTTTTAAAAGGTTTAATTCTGTGTGTTGGCTTTTCCCTTTTAAAACATTTTGATTAGAAATGAATCGATAGCCGAAAATATTGAGAATACGGTTTTTTTGCACTCATTTCGTAACGACGACATATTTAAGAAAATTCGTAGGACGTGCAAACAAACAAACAAAAAAAAAAAACAGAATGCGATAATCCACGCTCGCTGAGTATTCCCTTGCTGCTGAAGCGAACATGAAAAAAATAATCTGGCGCCCACAAAGAAAAGAGTGGGAGAAACAAGTTCAGCGCATTGGATTGGCTGGTTAAGCGACGAGTTGGGAGAAACCGCAGGTTACTGGATTCGAAGTAGTCAGTAGTTGGCGGTAAAACATGATGCAATTGGCAAAAATCGCTGAATTGGCGAAAAATTCTAAAATTTCGACAAAAATCACTAAAAACACTTGAAAAAGGAAAAAATCGTAAAAAATAGATTACGATCATAAAATCGTAAAGACAAACGCATTTTCGTAAAAATTACGAAAAATTCGTAAATGTTGGCAAGTATGCATTTGGCAAAAAGACACTGAGGTGCAGAAAGACTTAATTCATTATTCTGCTAAGTTTCAAATGTAAACAAAAATGGCTGCTATGATAAGAAAAATTAGGCTTAGCCGTACTTAAACAACTTTTAAATTGTTGATAATTCTACAAAGATTGCATACAGATTAACTGAAGGCATAAAAACCTTAACCGGAAGATAAGAACAACATAATTTTATCATTTTTAAAGCAAAAAATGCACAATTTACCAACATATAAGATTAAAAATCTGTACTCATGGAGCAGAATAACAGAATGGGTTTTTATATATATACTTTTGGAGTGGCTGATTGCAACCAAAATATGAGGTGCACATCTACATGTTATAGCATACATATATTCTATATACAAAATTTCAACGTTCTGAGGCTACTCGTTTTTGACTTATGTGAGATACATACGTACATACAGACGCCATGAAAAATTCTCTTTAGAATTCATTTTAAATCAATTTTGTAATTCATTTGGGAAAAAAAGAGTCCTTTATTCTGTCCTTACATACAGATGCCTAGCAAACACATCGTTAAATTGCATTCGATAGCAGTCAAAATGGATATGTTCATAAAAATGTGATACTCGGAATTTTTTGTGATTGCAATACTTCCTTTACTTCATACAAGGAAATAAAAACAGGAAAAAGATATCCTTTCTCATGATGATGGGATTATGGACTGAGTACGTGAATGTTTTTCATTTATGCTTTATTCCATTTAAGAGTAGAAAACATATCATTCTAAAATTCTCTAACATCAGTTTGGCGCTCCCTGAATGCTGCGCTCAGGAACAGATGTGCCCCCTTGCCCCCCCCAGCTATCCCACCGACACAACTAAGCAGGGACATTACATTCCATGTGTTACCAGATCCTCATGCACAATAAAATCTCTCATTTCTGCTTACATAGTAACCTTAGCAAACCAACGATTCAAGAAATTATTCAGAATATATAGAAAAATTGCCAATCATTTTATATGCATCAACGAATGAACTTTGAAGGTTGTGTCTATGATTTTCATAAAGAATTCACATTGAAAGACACCAGATTAACTTTTATTCCTTTTTTGAAAAGATTTAAAGAATATAAATTTATGTTGCTGTTGGTGCAAACTGTGATGTTTTGATCACGTCTATAATCCAACCAGTGGACAAAGTATTCAGAAGACTAAAGACGATTTACTGATCTTTTTTTAAGTGCCAGTGTGAGAACTATATAGGCAGTGTCTACAATTTTAAACAACTTACATTAAAAGAGGCCATATTTACTTTGCCTCTTACGTGAAAAGACGCAAAGAACATTATTTTACAGCTACATTATTGCTGGTAAAATTGTGGCTTATGATCATGTTTGTACATGATAAGGCAAGTGACAAAGTTTCTCTTAATTTTAAAATATTTTCCAGCAGTTGTGGATAACATCTTGGAATTACTTATGTGTTCAAAGAAGATTAATATTAGCATATTAATAATCTTTGCTGATAAAAAAAAACGAAGACTTGGGTGGATATATACAATTATTTTTCCATTATACTTTCTACACATGATGATGAAACATTCAGACACGCACTAAAAAAAGACTAATAATGAGAAGGAGGGCTAGGATGAGGATGAAGATAAAGACAATACGCAGAACAAGAAAGTTTCATGGAAGCTTACGAAGGATATTAAAATATTTGTCAAGCTTTTAATATCATAAAAAAGTGATGGATATCATTTAGCACATAAAAAAGTGTTTTGAATAACAATAATGAAAAATAAATTGTTTTTAATAAAAAGAGCATATAAATCATCAAACTGCCCTGATACAAAGAGATAGATTATCACCTGATAATTCAATAATATCAAATGTAATATTATCAAATATTTTTTGGAAACATTAGCTCGAAATTTTGATTTCAATCACACCTATATAGCTTGTTTAAATCAAACACCATTTTTTTTTAAAGCTTATGATATACATGAGTATACATTCAAAATATTTTTACAAATTCACCAGAATTCTAGAAAGAGAATAATTAGCCTTGATGCTATTCAAATAGAACAGTTTCACAAACACTTTCACTTGAAGACTTAAAGAATCTTTGCAAAATAATAATTCTACAATCTTTCTCAAACTTCAAATGTTATGCAAATACAGATTAAATGTTATGAAAATTTAGATTTTATAAGAAACAACGAATATGCCTTAATTTCTGACATTGCTTTCTGTTACTGTGGTATAACGTGGTACGCAAATTTCTGCAAATTGAAAATCTATCTCAAAAACCATTTAAGAAAGGGGTGCACAAGCAGTGGTTACAAGACATTAGTTGTAGGAAATTTAGTCAGCATGGAATATTTCATAGGTGAACACTACACATTCGTACTCAAGTGTTAATTCAAATAATGATCTGATAATTTGAACAAACAGATTTCACTATAAATGTGAAACAAGCAAGATGGCCATGCTCTCAGCAAAGCAAAGAAAATGTGAAAAATGCTAGATATTTGTAAGAAAATAGATTGGGCACCAGAGTTTCACAAATATGAAGGCTATGACAAGAGGATTTGGATGTAGCAGGATGGAGGCATAAGCCATGTCTCTAACTGTGATTAAAAAAAAGTATTCCTAATAAATTGATTTTTTGTAGATTTGAATAGGTCCTTTCCAAGTATACAGACTTAAAACAGGTTTCAAAGAATAATCGTTAAATAATCGAAGTTTATTAGATTTAGAAATGGATGGATTTTCTATTATCTGCAAATTAAAATAATTATTTAGAAACAAAAAAATAAATAAACAAAATTTCCAGCTGTATTTACAATTATTTAGAAAGAAACATACGACTGTTTATGCCATGGCCCCTGAACAGTCTTGGTCTTTCTCTCACTGACTCCTTTTATGCGTTTTTAAAGTCATGTAGTGTACAAAAGTAAACTAGCAATAATAACATGACTGAAATAAAATATTCATGATGAGATAGCTGCAATTTTGCATGCCATGTCTTAGTGTGTTTTCCAGCCACTACTTGCAAGAGTGGCAAGGCCATGAAAAGCAAACATTTTAATAAAAATTTTAAGAAGTAAATTCCCGGGTACATTCTATTAAATTGAAGCTCAACAAAATAACTTAAACACACTGTTTTATTTTAATTCCAAATGTGCTGAAATTTATAGTCTACTCTGTAGATTATACCATTTAAAAATAACATTTAAACACAATTATGCAAAATTTAAGTGCCTTATACCAAAAAAAGACTGGCTGTATAAAAATCGGGAATAGGGGGGGACTTTAAATATACATCAAGAAAGGGAAAGTTTTACCTGCCAGATGTGCCTATGCTTGCATCTCGGAAAGCTATACCAAACTTGTGTGAGCAGCACAATGTTAACATGAACTTGTGCGTACAAGAGTGGACACTTTCTGATTCTTCTTCACTAACTTCCTTTAGAAAAGAGAGAAAATGAAAATCGATTCTAAATATTTAATAATTATGAAAGTAAGAGATTTAATTTGTAAATATAAATATAATTAAAATAGATAAGCATTTTTAGAGAAGGTAAGTCTAATGGGATTTAAAAAAACTCACATATGCTACAGCTTGAGGATCTTCTCCTAACTTTCTCTTTATACTTTTCTTTTTTTGAATAGGTCCTTTCCAAGTATACAGACTTAAAACAGGTTTCAAAGAATAATCGTTAAATAATCGAAGTTTACTAGTTTTAGAAATAGATGGATTTTCTATTATCTGCAAATAAAAATAATTATTTAGAAACAAAAAAAAAAAAAATAAATAAATAAAATTTCCAGCTGTATTTACAATTATTTAGAAAGAAACACATGATTTTTTATCAAATTTATAAACCAAATAAATCAAACATTCATATTTGCCAACCTTAAACTAAGAAAAACTGGGGAAAGGGGGGTCTCACCCAAAATCCTGGAGTTTCCAGGAGGTTTCACTCTGCACTGTGACATCATTTCAAAAAAATTCAAAATTGCCTTAAATTCACTTCATGATACATGAGTTAGAATACTGAACTTTTTTTAATTAGGTATTCTGAATTTAATGTTTTTTAACTAATTTCATTTTGCAGTTTTCTTACACTTTTATACTAAAGCCTTCAAAAAATTTAAAATTAGGAGATTCTGTGATCTACCAAAAGACCTGGGGGTTCAATAAAAATCTGGGAGAATCAGCAGCCATAAACATTTATTATTATATTACAAATAACACATACATATAACTGCAGAAATATTCACATACTTTTAAAACAAGCATTCCAAGTTCAATAATCATTACAAAAATCTAAAATATCTTTCATGCCAAACTAAAAACATAAATACTTGAAGATTTTCTATTAAAATTATTCTTTTATTTAAATTTACAAGCCTAATAATTTCTCATTAAATGTCGCATAAAACGAGTAGCAACATCTATAGCAATTCACGAAGTGCCACAATAATTTAATATTTTTGCTTCATTTTATAAACAAATTTTCTATTCCTTTTCATAACAAACTGGTCTTAAAAAAAAATTCTAATTGATTAAATAAAAGAGACCCCCCCCCAAAAAAAAAAACTGAAAAGTTTCAGGTTTTAAATTACCCCCAAAGGGGCATTTTTTTAAGGTCTTGAGTGTTACCTTTATTTATTAAATATCATGTCCTTTGCACTTAAACTATAAACTTCAGTTCAACAGCAATGTCGCAAAATAATTTTAAAATAAGCATATCTTTAGAATTTCCAATACACAGTTTCATGCGCTGGAGATAAAAAGATCCATCCTCCCCGTAGAGTGTTGCTATTGCTCATTTTTAAATTGTTGAGTTTGTTAATCAAAAATTCACTAAAGTTTTACAAAATATGAAATCAATAATAGAACAAATTCCAAATTTCAAATTTGGGCTTTCAGATGCCCATATTCGCAGCAGGATTACGTCATTCAAAATTGGATGGCTCTAAGTACCATTGTTTTATCACAATGCAAGAAAAAAACATACACTTATGCAGATTTTTCGTTATTTAATTTCTTCAAATATAACACAGGGTGAGAGTATTTGGTAGCAACAATTTGAAAAGTGATATGCTGTTTATAGGGTTCTGACACAAAATTGCAAAATGAAAACAAGGGACAAAGCCCCTTTGGACTAATAATAAAGAGGGAGTTAGTTGAGACTTCATGATAAGATAGCTCAAACGAGTAGCATCATGATAAGATGGCTAAAATGAGTGGCTAAACCGACTGAAGGCATAAATACATGAAAATTTTCTATTAAAAAAGTTCTTTTGGGCAATTTACATAAAACAGTATTATAACTAAAATAAATCTTTCAAAAGATTTGTGATAAAATCATACAGGAAAGAGACATTATAAATGTGCAAAATAAGCATATCTGAAAGGAGAAGACAAAAATTCAAAAACTACTTATCATGTTAAAAAAAAAAAAAAAAAAAAAAATTGTTCATACCTTGAAGAAAAAAAAAAAAAACTTGTGTATTTTTTAAATATTGACAAGCATTAAACAACACCTCAATAATAAAACTAATCTAAAAGTACTGGGATCTAAAGATCATGACAAAACTAATCTAAAAGTACCGGGGAAAAAAGTGTTTATGTGCCAAAATATACATTTTAAAAAAGGAAAGAAAGAAAAAAGTTACACAATCAAGAAAGCAATTTACCTGAATGAAATCAAGCATATAGTTTCACCACTGGCAGCTAAGCAAATGATTCAAATTTTACATTCATCTGTACAAATGGCATCAGCGAAGGCAAGGCATATCACAAAGCGTGCTACACCATTAAAAGTCATTTCAAAATGTGCACCTATGTATATTTGACTAGTGGTCTTGTACTGAAAGCCTTCGTTTAAACAGTACTGGGTCTTTAAAAAAATTCAACAACAATTTGAAGTAAGATGCATTCTTGAAGGTCATCTCAACCACTAGTTAATAACTCACTAGTCAACAGAAGCCAATTATCAACAGTTCCAATGATTGAAATCTCTTTTGACAGCCACATTTTTTAAATGTAAATTACATAGGTAGGTATATTGTTAATCACTTAATTAGGGTACTTTTGTGCTGGCTTTTACTAAGAACATCTTTGATCTGATTCAATGCACATTCTCTGAGGTTGAACCTCTTCCAACTCTCCTATCCACACTTGTCTTTATCTTCTTTTGTTCATTCTCTTTATATGTGCAAACCAACTTAACATACCTTTCTCAATTCTCAACACTACATCTTCTTCCATGCTATAATACTCCCCAAAATTAACTTAATACTTCATTTTGTAAGTCTTAGTTAAACTATATAGGCATGTCGAATAAACTTTGATATTACACAATACAATTTAATGATACTGTTATTGATAAAGTAAAATTGTAAGGTATCCATAAACTTAAATCATGATAATGAAGAAACACTAATGTGAACGATGCCCTTGCATCTCCATGGAACGTTTGTGTAACTCAGGTTTGAATGTTGTTGTTTTTAATTTTAAGCATGATTCCAAGTTCTCATCAATAAGACGACTTTTCAGTTTACTCTCGATAAGGTTCATGCTTGAAAATGATTGTTAACATGAAAATACAGACCCGAATAAGGAAGGAACAGCAAAACCTAGTTTTTCCAGCATCATATGAGGCAGGAATACAATTCCATGGGTTTAAAATCGATATATGTTCCTTCTCCAGGTTTTCCAAAGCAGTCCACTTGTGCTGTGAACATTTGTTTTTCTCCAGTGTTTCTACATCAGCGCTAAGACGTTCAAATTTCAAGCTCCATAATTCTTTGTTTTTTAAATCCAGCAAATGGATTTCAAAGTTGCCACTGTCGATATTACAGCATACTTGCCAACCTATGACACTCAAAAATCAGGAGATTTTTTTAAGAAATCGGGAGATTTTTCACAATGTTAAAAAGACTTTTTAAATGAGGAAAATATAGTTTTTAATAATGAATTAACTTTAAATAGTAACTAATTCTTAAATGCAAGCAACACAAAAATACCTTCACAATAAAAAAACATTTTTATTACTTGCATCGTTTAAGAAAACAAAACAAAAAAAAAAAAAAAAAACCTTTAATCAGTTTTTGACAAATGGTATAAACAGTGGCAGATTTTGCTTTCTTTAAGAAAGAAACTTATAATTTTGTTCATAGCCAATTGCCACGTAGGCCTGCTTTCACTAATAAAAATTTCTAATGTGTCATCACTAATATTAGATCTAAATTTAGTCCTCGTTTTCGCAACAACACTGAAAATCCTCTCACACTCTGCATTACTATGGGGAACTGTCAAGATGGCCAATATAATTCTAGACAGTTCTTTATATTTTAAAATTCCATCAGCATCTTTCAGTTTTCCAATTAAACTCCACTGGGTGTCAATCCTAGCTGATTTTATAACTTCATCCAAGTTTTCTAATTGTAAACTGCTATTATGCAGCTGTTGGACCTGTTTCAATTTTTTCTCCTTTTTAGAACTCCTTTCAAGATTGTAATAAATATCAACAATGTGTTCATCCACATTTATTGGTAAAGAAGCTACTCCTTTTTCAGCCGCTAAATTTAAGAGGTGACAGGTGCACCTCATAATCTGCAAATCTGAATTTTTCTTTTGAAGATGCCTGCCAACACCAGTCTTCAAGCCTACCAATACTGGTGCATTATCGGCACCTAGTGCTAAGCAATTATCCAGAGGGACTGCATTTTTCTTTTAAAGTTTTAATAATTAGCTGTGCTATATTAAAGCCTGTCAAATGTCCTTCCGAAGTGGGGACAGAAAGTAGTAAACTGCACTCAATTTCTGAAGACTCTGGATTAAAAAAAGAAAAAGAACAACAATTGGATACACTTTTGAATCGGTATTGCTTCTATCCATAGAGAGGCAGAACGGAGCTGTTTTAATGCCGATCAATAACTGAAGATTTATTTTTCAAATCCATTTCTTTAACAATTGCACTTTTTTTGGTTCTTGCACTTAAGTATTTCTTAGCGATTTCACTATCAGGAAACATTTTTCTAAATAAAGCTGCAGCGTGATCCGATGCATTCAGTGGCAGGTTGTGCTCCAGTAAAAAGGCAGAGAACAGACATTCTGCATTTATAACTTTTTGGTTTTTTGTTTCCAAAGAAAAAAAAATTTTTTTTTTTTTTATTTATCCAAATAACAGCTTGTTTTGTCCTCATTGGCTAATATATGCCAGATGACACGCAGTGGAGCACGATGCCCATTGGAGAAACTGGAGAAGGACGTTCTGGATACGTTAATTTCTCACTCACAAAGCAGAAGAAGTTATCTAATTCGCAAGGTTTTGTTTTAGATATAATCTAGAGAAAATTCATTTGCTTCGGACATCCAAAATCACTTTTTTTGTTCATATAACAAAGTATTAAACCAAGTTCCATAAAAATCGTGAGAAATTTTAAGAATAAGAAAAAGTCGGGAGAAATATATTGTAAATCGGGTTGGCGGGAGAGCGATCGAAAATCGGGAGTCTCCCGCCTAAATCGGGAGAGTTGGCAAGTCTGTTACAGGAAGAAACATTTAAATCTGCTATTGTATTAAAAGGTTTCTTAATAAGGGTTAACGTTGCTTTGCTGTTTCTGAATTCCTGAAACCAGCTAAAAAAAACTTCTCTTTATTTAAACTGTTGTTTTGAAATAACAAATGTCAATATTAGAATTATTTTCTTGGCAATGTTTCTACAAGTTTGGATAGTGAATCAAAGTTTCTCT